GAGTCAACACCATGTTCAGAGGTTTGATTTTGTAATCACGGAATTATTTGGTCATTAAATGAGCCGTAAGCTTCTCTAGACGGGCCCTGTGCTCCGGAATTAGTAATTTTAATATAACTCCATGGAACATCACACAGCTGGTGAAATATCGGCACTACTGATGGAATTTGAACGTTCATTAGCATGTGAGGTTGGGGTGACTGAACAGTAGTGTCTTCTGATATGTGACGCGGTGTAGAGTGGTAGAAAGTTATCCACATTTCGGGGGAAATTTCTGCCTCAATTTTCAGAGTCACGTACTAAACCAAAGAAGAACGCTGCAATGACAGAAGTAAGCTGATTCTTGCCTACATGTTCGGTTTACCATCCAACTCTGAAAATGGAGGTATATATTACTCCGAAACGTTGGTGAACGTCTACTAGACTACATGGCGTCAAAACCAAAAGAAAATAGTACTCTTCTTTACCATGTTCACGGGAGTCGGCCACTGGACCGTACCCCAACCAGCCGAATCCAGTTCACACCCTCACATCGTACGGATTTAGCTCCATTATAATATTATTGTCCTTCTACGTCTTTATGTCTTCCAAGTGGTCGCTTCTCTTCAACTGTGAGGCTAAAATTTTGTATGCATTTCTCATATCCCCCTTTGATCTGTATGGTTCAGTTGTTACTGAGTATTCTCTTACATGTGCTTAGAAATATTTCCACATAAAAGCGTTCTCATCCTGAATGCTAAAGGAGGGTGGAAAGTAGCCAGGTAACAAGAAATGAAAGGGATCTACAGAAGGGGAGGGCGAGGTCAGTTTATACGTGGATGTCTGGTGTCGGGTATTTATGTTCCAAGGATAGGAATTCGAAACAAAAACACACAAAGTTGTGCCAGCATGTGGTCGTATAATGAGGGTAACTGCATGTTTCGGGAGATGAGGGAGTCTGGTTACGTGGTCATTTTGGTTCATGTTCGTATTTCGATCATCTTCACTTTTCACATATATTTGAGATCATTACTTCATTTGTATGAGAATTAGGGTCACCTGTCTAATGGGTACTGATGGCTCTTTCTCCGGGGCTAAAGCAGCGGGGCGTGAAGCTGACTATTCACTTCCAGCTAGCTCCGAAGTCAAGAATACGTGGAGCTATACATACACTCCCCCATACGTATTATGGCGTAGTGTTTAATTAGATAAGCACAGGGACATCTTTACCTTTTTTGCTTTATTAGAGTTCACATGGCCGTGAATGTTAAAATTGTCGTCTTCTGAGTTGTGACGTCGTGTAATCTGGTAGATGACTACAGACATTTCGAAGGAACGGTAAAATGTAAGGTAAAGTTGCACCTGTTCTTAATTAATTAAGCACCACAGTACTTAATTTATTTAAGGTCACTGTATTGTTCCCCTGGAACTTGATAGCACTAACGCATCCCACGAGTAGTGTGAGTGTTTGTTTCCTGACAGACCAATCCCCCATACGAGGATTCCTGCAATTTGTATCTAGGATGTAGAGAGTCTGTACAACAGAGGAGAACATGGCTCGACTCAGGCTGACACCAAGAATTTATTTGTTGCACTTTAAACAACGATGCTTACTAACTCTTTTAAGCACAGTGGTAACTGAATATGGGCTGGATGGCCCAGGTTCGTTTCCCAGCAGTGAAAGATCTTTCTGTATTCCACAACGTCTAGTGCGACTCTTGGACACACCAAGCCTCCTATCTCATGGATACCGGAGGCTCTTTCCTCGGGGGAGGGGTAAAGCTGCAGAGGCGTGAAGCGACCACCTACATCTAGTGCCGAGGTCAAGAAAGTGGAGCTATACCTCCACTTAATTAATTAAGCACAGAGGTAACTGAATTTACCATTATAAAACTGTATTTTATCCGCAAACAGAATTATCTGTTGTTTAAGAATCTCACGATAAACGACGATTATTTCGATAAACAACATTAACCAGTTGGTCTACGTAATGTAGGCGCAGGGTGTTTTCTGTGAGGCATTATCTGAATTGTTATAAATAATTCTAATGAATTTCAGGCTTCATGAATAGTCACAATTATATATCACATGCGTGTATGCATGTATTTGTATGTATGTTTATCTAGGCATGACTGTCCACATGTGAAGTAGAAGTGTTCGTTGCTCGTCCGAAGCATGAGCGCAAGAAACAAACTCTGTACGCCAAGTATTGAGTTTTGAGTATTGAGGGGGTTGGTTACCCCATGCACCGCGACCAGTTTGATCTATTGTGCGTCTCCCTTTGAATTTCTACTGTCTCCATACCCTACCGGTACTGGTGCTCGCTATCGTTCCCTTCTGCCTGCGAGGTTTCGGCCTTCTACTGGCAGTGGTATCTGATAGTTTACGCCAAATATGCACAATTTTTATAATCAACAGCCAGATATTTGATTTGAAAAATTGTACATGTTTGGCCTACCGAGTTTGTTTAGGGGGCGCGCGGTAGCAGTGTCGGTTGAGGCACTATGCTACAAGCCGGAAGGTCGCGGGTTCCCATTCCGATGAGGTCATTGGATTTTTTCAGTTGATCTAATCCTTCCAGCCGCACTATAGCCTTGGGGTCGACTCAGCCTCTAGCAGAAATGAGTACCAGGAATATTTTTGGGGGTAAAGGGCGGCCGGCGCGTAAGGCTGACAGTGTTCCAGCGTGAAAGCAGATGGCAAGCAGAGCCAAGGCTCGCCACTGGACACGACGTGGAGCCAGTCTTCACAGTACTCTCGAAGACCTGTATTCTGATTCATTGCAGCAACACTGTCGGATCTGTTGTCTGTGTAGGCACACATGGTGTTTGGGTAAGCTGCCTGTGCTGCATTCTTGAGGTTAGTAGTTGTCATTATACTGACGAATGTGTTACTAATTTCCATTTCGATATTAGGGGCGACAGTTGGAATCGAATCCAGGACATGATGAATAGTCGTTAGCATAGGAAGAAAATCAAAACCTGACTGAGGAGGAAATTAGGAGGAGATTGAACTCGGGTAATGCTTGCTACCATTCAGGCCGGAACCTTTTGCCTTCTCGTCTGCTGTCCAAAAACATAAAAATTAGAATATACAAAACTATAATTTTGCCTGTGGTTCTGTATGGGTGTGAAACTTGGTCTCTGACATTAAGGGAGGAACATAGACTGAGGGTGTTTGAGAACAGGATGTTGAGGAGAATATTTGGACAGAAGAGAGATGAAGTGACAGGAAGTTGGAGAAAACTGCATAATGAGGAGCTTCATAACTTGTACTCTTCTCCAAGTATAATTAGAATGATCAAGTCAAGGAGGATGAGGTGGGCAGGGCATGTAGCACGAATGGGGGGAAAAGGAATGCATATAGGATATTGATGGAAAAGCCCTTAAGAAAGAGACAACTGGGAAGACCAAGGCGTAGGTGGGTGAACAATATCAAACTGGATCTTAGGGAAACAGGATGGGATGGTATGGATTGGATTGATCTGGCTCAGGATAGGGACCAGCGGAAGGCTCTTGCGAACACGATAATAAACCTTTGAGTTCCGTAAAATGCCGGGGAATTCTTGAGTAGCTGCAGAAATGGCGGTTTCTCAAGAAGGGCTCAGCTCCATGAGTAAGTAAGTAAGTAAGTAAGTAAGTAAGTATAGGAAGAAGGGCCAGTTCACGAGAAGTAGTGGTATGCCAAACGTACCCGGTCGATGGAGAATATCCAATTCAGTGTTCGTATTATGTGTCTCAAAGAGTTATCCCCCTGTGCCCTTCCAGGTCTTGAGAATCTTGAGGGGTTTGTCTCTAGAATTCAATTCGCGTTTTTGACACCGTCTTTCCGCGCTACATAGAGTTGCGTAGCCGCATAGATTTTAATATTTTTATTGTTTATTTGAGTTACAATATATGCGTATAATTACACTATATTATACATTAGAAAAAATGTCGGCCCTTCCTGCCATCGTCAGGTAATGTATGTTTCTGTATTCAGTTCCGTTTTTCTGCTATTTTCTCCCTATGTTCTTACGTGAAGTTAAAAGAGACCATGATCCTCAGCAGCCGAGGGATGCTCGGTTATAAACAAAAAGTGTAGGTATTTCCCAGCATTTTATGGAACCCGGAGGTTCATTACTGTGTTCACAAGAGCCCCCTAGGTCCCTATCCTGAGCCAGATCAATCCAGTTCATACCATTCCATCATATCTCTTTAAGATCCATTTTGATATTGTCCGCCCACCTACTCCTTGGTTTTCCCAGTGGTCTATTTCCTTCTGGCTTTCCCACCAATATCCTATACGCATTCCTTTTCTCGCCATCTCGTGCTACATGTCCTGCCCACCTTATCCCCCTTTACTTGAGCATTCTAATTATACTTGGAGAAGAATACAAGTTATGGAGCTCCTCATTTTGCACTTTCCTCCAACTTCCTATCACTTCATCCCTCTTCGGTCCAAATATTCTCAACACCCTGTTCTCAAACACCCTTAGTCTGTGTTCCTCCCTTAATGTCAGAGATCAAGTTTCACACCCATATAGAACCATCGGAAAAATTATAATTTTGAATATTCTAATTTTTATGTTTTTGGACAGCAGACGATAAGACAAAAGGTTCTGGACTGAATGGCAGCAAGCATTACCAAACAAGAAATGTAAGATAAATTAATTTAAGTACAGTCGTTTTCTGAAAGCCATCGTCTGATATTGTACAATCGTAGAATATTCTTCAATACATCCACAACATTATGTTAATGTGTTGCTTTACTGGGGCTTGTCCATGTACGCCGAGACCCAAACCCAGGAGGCAGTGACGTGGTCTTCCAGCACCTGGTTCTTGTACCAATCCGGACATACCTGAGATAACTTACCTGTCGGATCGCAATCCCCAGCGAACTCTGCCGAACAGAACAATCATACAGGGTTTGGTTTTTTATTTCGAACCATTATAGGAGCGGAAGGAGGGGAAGGGAGAGGAAGCCGGCCAAGTACGAGGCAAGCTCGTTCCAGTGTGTGTGTGTGTTCAGTCGGTTGGGTGAGTCTGCGCTGTGAGAGTGTTCGCCATGACAGTATCGCGTCCAGTTCAGCGCGTGTATGGTTTTGGAAGAACATACAGCAAATATTGTGAGAAACGTGTGTATCGAAGTTAGGCAGTGAGACACGTTTTTGTGTCAGCATCTCAAGAAGAATGTGGCGGGTTTATAACCTGCAGACACGTGGATACTGTTGTGCAAACATGTGTTGTAATATAAACTTTTTGTCGTAGTACTGGAGGGATCCAAACCGAGTGAATCTGTACATTAATAAGGTTCGAAGAAAAGAAACGAAAACGTGGGAGTAAAGTGCGGGTATATGCAGCTGTCTTGACGTGTTTTATCAACTTGTAAACCGGAGCAGAACTTGGGCGTTGTAAGTTGTTTTGATTACACGTTTCAGTACTCGAATGGTCAGTGTTCTTGTGTCCCGGATTTAGTGTATGAAGAAGAGAAGGGTTTGTGACCGGGCTGTTGTAATCTCAGCATATCACTACAACATTTACAGGAATGTTATGGAGCGTACGAAGCCAGTTCTATCGAACTCTGTATAGAAGATTTTTGTTCCCGGATTAAGAACCATTATTCATAAACGGTGATGTTTTAGAACGGATTATTTACTGTTATGCATAATGGTGATAATAGCCCGAAACAGGGAAGTGAAGTGTATGTATGGTTTTCTGACGTCAGATGCAAATTTAGATGTTATTCAGAGGAATTCGCTTAATTTTATGACGAATTTAAGCTACATAAAACGGTTATTATAATTACCACAAAATATCTGTCCTGAGAAACCTGTGTATTTTTGTGATTCCGGTAATGTTACTTGTCTTCCTTTTTAAAATATCTTCACTACCCTAGGAGGCAGCTAAAATCTTATCTTCCATTGTTATTCGAAAATACATATAGAAAATCGCATCGGATAGAAAAGCATTGTGAGGCAAAATTTGATACTTTAAAAGTGCGACATTGTTATCTGACATTCGCAGTGACCTCTTCTACGAAGCTAGGAAGTGATATGAGTGATACAAAGTGTCTCCAATCAGATGCCGTCAGGGAGTGTTTATAACATGAAAGCATTCTGAGGGGGTACAGACTGATACTTCAGAATGTTTGGAACTTTGGTCCAACGCCTCCAATCTCTGAGCCCTTTGGGTTCGCCCATTACAAGTCCTGTAAGCTCACCGAAACCTTCACGACATCGCTACAAGAGCCCCTCGAGGGGCCCAAGACGGCCTCCATTAGCGCGCCATAAGGAGGAATATCGGGAAGTTCAGTCCGATCCAGAACTAGATGAAATTGACACCGCGAAGAAGTATGGCCGCACAAGTCGCCACCTGCTGGACAAGCGAAAGAACAAGTCACGTGTTTCCGCCCGCACCGAACCCGGGATAAACAACAACATGTATACAGAACGTTCTGGATTTGCCCCGCTCCAAGGATCCAAGTCACTGGGTAGAGTGGATGGGCTCAAAGAGGTAAGAAAGCTTCCTTAAAGTTAACTTTATGAATGAATTCACAGAGTAGACATCTGCCTTCTCTGCATGAGTAGCAGCACCACATACATATATCTATCATGGTCTTGTAGCAGCGAGACCGGAGATTGTCAAACGGAGTAAACTGCACGAAAGGATTCTCATGTATAAGGTGACCCACTGTCGCAGTATGTGTGCCATAATCGTGACGTCTGGGAAACAGGGCCTATTGCACTAATGTTTTCCAAATAAATACACCATAATTTCGAAACGTAGTCATGTCAGCCATGTGTGTGCGACTCTTTGTGTTCTTACGGTTAAGGAAACGATTTTGAGAACATAACTAGAAACTGATGCTGAGTAAAGCATTAATTCATAAGTTATTTTTCGTGACCAGTCAAGGTTAGTTAGTGGCTTGAGGAAAGTATTCACTTGTCCGTTTCAGATAGCGCTGCGCGATGCACAAATATTTCTGCACGACATTTTGTTCGAGATCAGCTCGTTAAGATCGTAATAACACTATAACGTGTAAAGTAAAGGTATCCCTGTAACAGGCCATGGGGCCCCACAGGGTTGTGAGATGTTGAGGTTCCCACATTTTCTAGACACTCGGCTCATAGACGTTCGGCCGTTCAAGAGGAAGTTCTGCGCGCCAATCGCGTCATCGGTTCCAGCATTCACGAACTCATAGCGTAGTCGGAAAACCAATAGTGTATACACATTAAAATTTCTCTTCAGTGTCGCCTCAATAGACCGTTGAACAGCGTAGACCGAAGCGACGTCATGCGTTACGTACCGGCTCCACCCGTAAATCCAAAGCCTCATGTTGCTACTGGTGCTGTAAGTTGACAAATACATCAGCTAGTCATAAACTTCAGGAAGTCCAATGATTTCAGTTAGGAGGAAAGCATTTTACAATATTGCCGTTGCATTTGGTGCACGCGTGAAACTAGATACGGTAGATAAAATGAGTTTAAATGAAAGATAAACTAGGTCCATACAGATATGCATTTGTGTGGTGGTCTAAAACAAGGAGACGCATAATCGCCACTGCTTTTCAACTTTGCCGTTAAGAAGGTACCAGAAAACCACGTCGGACTGAAACGGAATGGGACACACGAGTGTCTCGTCTACAAATACGCTGATGGTGTAAATCTGTTGCGAGTAAATACCACATAGAAAAACGCAGAATATCTAACGAGGATGGTCAAGAAATAAACTCATTTGAGTTTATTTCTAGGTCGCGTTGCAAGGGCCGGATTTCATGGCCCATCCCGTATACATACATACATAAAGATATATTTAAGTATTTTATGACGTCAGAATGTAGGGCAAAATCGTTACAAATATGAACAAATCATCTAAAAATATGTCCATCAAGTACTGGGAAAAGACATTAACACATCAACATTTAATTAAGGAGGAAATTAAGACCGCATTAAATTCGGATAATGTTTGCTACCATTCATTCCAGAACCATTTGTCCTCTCGTCTGCTGTTTAGTAACGTAAAGATTACATATTCATGGAGCTGAGCCTTTCTTGAGGAGCCGCCAATTCTGCAGCTACTCAAGAATTTCCCAGCATTTTATGGAACCCAAAGGTTCATTACCGTGTTCATAAGAGCACCCCACTGGTCCCCATCCTGAGCCAGATCAATCCAATCCATACCATTCCATCCTGTTTCTCTAAGATCCATTTTAATATTGTTCGCCCGCCTACGCCTTGGTCTTCCCTTTGGTCGCTTTCCTTCTGGCTTTCCCACAAATATCCTATATGCATTCTTCTTCTCCCCCATTCGTGTTACATGCCGTGCCCACCTCATGAAAAACCACAGTTTTGCCTGTAAGTCTGTATGGGTCTGAAGCTTGGTGGCTCCAAGTAAGGGAAGACCCTTGACTGAGAACAGGGTGCTGAGAAGTATATTTGGACTCACGAGGGATGGAATAATAGGATGTTGGAGAGAATTGCATAATTAGGAGCTTCGTAATTTGGGCCCTTCTTCAGATATAATTAGAATGATCAGGTCAAGGAGGATGAGATGGGCAGGGGATGTAGCACGCATAAGGAAGAAGAAGAAGAAGAATGCATACAGGGAACAAGCCCTTCTTACGGTGTGTTGCAAGCTGATTAAATTTGTCCTTCAGATATTCCCTCTTTTAATTTCTGAAATGCCTGCTTTTTCACGTCTTATATTGTTCAGATTATCCCCATTTGTTTGGTTCGGATCCTGTAACGATTGCAGTTCGGATATTTTCCTTCGATCTAATATTTTTTAGCATCCTTCGTCGAACCATGGCTTGTGCTCCATTTCATAATAAATTAGACTCTCTTTTTTGCTGAAATTTGTTTTCTATTGCTAGTAGGGTGGGACTAAGTCCCTTGTACTGCGGCCACTTCTAGCCCATTGTACCAGCCCCACTTGATAGGTGAGGGTGATTGTGGAGCAATTGGTGGAATGAAGATTGACATGGGAAACCGAAGTACTCGGAGAAAACCTGTCCCAGCTCCACTTTGTCCACCACAAATCCCACTTGACCAGACCCGGGATCGAACCCGGGCCGCCGCGGTGGGAAGCCAGTGACTAACCGCTTGAGCTATGGCGCGGCCTTGCTGAATATTTGATATTCTGTCTTCGTTAATATCCACATTATCGTCAAAGTAATCAGCTATTCATAGACTTCAAGAAAGCATATAATTCAGTTAGGAGGGACGTATTGTACAATAATCTAATAGAGTTTGGGATACCCATGAAACTAGTTAGGTTGATTAAAATGTGTTTTAACGAAACGTATAGTAAAGTCCGTGTAGGTAAAAATTTCTCTAATAAATTTCCTGCCTAAAATGGTCTAAAACAAGGAGATGCTTTATCGCCACTCCTTCTCAGATTTGCCATAGAGTATGCAATTAGGAAGGTCCAGGGAAACCAGGTGCGACTGAAACTAAACGTGACACATCAGCTGTTGGTCTATGCCGATGACGTGAATCTACTGGGTGACAATGTAGATACAATAAAGAAAAGCAGACAAACTTTAATTGATGCAAGTAAAGAGGTTGATCTAGAAGTAAACAAAGAGAAAACTATGTTGCTGTCTCGTCACCAAAATGCAGGGCAAAATCATGACATAAAGATAGGAAACAGATGTTTTGAAAATGTGGCACAGTTCAGATATTTGGGGACAACGATAACAGATCGAAACCTGATTCAGGAGAAATTAAGAGGCGACTGAAGTCGGGTAATGCTTGCTACCATTCAGTCCAGAACCTTTTGTCTTCTCGTCTGTTGTCCAAAAACATAAAAATTGGAATATACAACACTATAATTTTGCCTGTGGTTCTGTATGGGTGTGAAACTTGGTCTCTGACATTAAGGGAGGAACATATACTGAGGGTGTTTGATAACAGGGTGTTGAGGAGAATATTTGGACCAAAGAGAGATGAAATGATAGGAGGTTGGAGAAAACTGCATAATGAGGAGCTTCATAACTTGTACTCTTCTCCAAGTATAATTAGAAGGATCAAGTCAAGGAGGATGAGGTGGGCAGGTCATGTAGCACGAATGGGGGAGACAAGGAATGCGTATAGGATATTGGTGGGAAAGCCAGAAGGAAAGAGACCACAGGGAAGACCAAGGCGTAGGTGGGTGGACAATATTGGAATGGATCTTAGAGAGATAGGATGGGATGGTATGGATTGGATAGATCTGGCTCAGGATGGGGACCAGTGGAGGGCTCTTGTGAACACGGTGATGAACCTTCGGGTTCCATAAAATGCTGGGAAATTCTTGAGTAGCTATAGAATTGGCTTCTCCTCCTTAAGGGCTCAGCTCCATGAGTAAGTAAGTAAGTATTTCAAAGCCGCGGACCTGTTTCAAATGTTAACCCGATACTGTTCTATTATCTTCTGCCTCATTTAGTATCTTGAGATTGAATCTCTTCATGTCAGATTTCTGCGTTCCCCTTTTGTTTACCTCCAGTCTTACCCTAACCGTTTCTACCACCAGATAGTGCTCGGTATCACAGATTCCCAGCGAGATCGGATATCGAGTACTTAAATATTATTATTTCTTTTAGTTGTGACGAATTAATTTAATCTCATTGTTACTGGTGTGAGTATATCCAAGAAGTGAGAGAAATGAGAAATACATGCAAAATACTCCGCTTACCCGGAGAACGGGTAATGATAGACCTTGTTAAATTGGATTGTAAGGAAGAAAGTTGTTAGGTTGTGGGGTCGATTCATTTGACCAATGGTTTTTTATTGTGAACGCGGCAATGAAACCAGGCGGGCGACTTCTCCAGGAGGACCTAGACATACTCATTCTTAACTCCAGCACCAGACAAAGTTAGTGGCCTCTCCTCCGTCTGCTTGGACTCTATCGGATTCTCTTTGGAAGCAGTCAAATACTCGCATATTATCACCGCCTCTGTGGTCTAGTGGTAAGAGTTCGATTCCTGGCGCCATCAGTTTTTTTCTGAGAAGTAGTGGGTCTGAAACGGGGTCCACTCAGCCTCGTGATGATAACTGAGGAGATATTTCAAGGAAATAGCGGCTCCGGTCTACAAAACCGAAATTAACGGCCGTGGGGATTCGTTACGGTGACCACGCGACACCCTCTATCCGATATAGTTTGCACTAACTTCGCCGACAAGCGGCGGTCGCTCGGTCGGTATTGTTCGCTTTCCGACTAAACCCACGGAGTTTGTTTTATCATTATTTTATATTGTTCATGTAAATGTCCTGTTTGATGCCTACTTTAGTTGTTTTCACTAGAAATGTTCATGCGTTTAGTGCTGTAATGTTTCAGACTTGAAGCCGAACTATAGCCTATTAAAATTAGTACGCACTTGAGCTTACAGAAATGGAAAGGTCAGTGTAAGTAACGCGAGGAAATGAAAGATTGCAGGCGGATATGGAATTTGGGTTTGGCCGTGCCATTTCCGGCAGGGTCTAGCTCACGGACGTAAATCTGATGAACGATCAATGGAAAGCAGAACTCGCCCG